ATAAATAAACTGGGCAGCACGGTGGCGCAACTGGTAGAGCTGCTGCCTCTCAGCGAGCAGGTACCTGGTTCAAACCCCGGTCCAGGGGCCCTTCTGGGTGGAGTTTGCATGTTCTCTCCGTGCATGCGTGGGTTTTCTCCGGGTACTCCGGTTTCCTCCCACAGTCTAAAAACATGCATGTTAGGCTGATTGGTAACTCTAAATTGTCCCTAGGTGTGAGTGAGAGAGTGAATGGTTGTTTGTCTCGTTTGTCTCTGTGTGGCCCTGTGATGGATTTGCGACCCGTCCAGGGTGTACCCCGCCCCTCGCACAGTGATTGCTGGACATGGGCACCAGCAACCCCCGTGACCCAAAATGGAATAAGCGGGTAAAGAAAATGAATGGATGGATGGATGAAAATAAACTACTACTTACTACTTGTAGTAATATTCCTACTTCGTGTTTTTTCACTTATTGCGGGTCTTCAGGGTTCAGATCCCCCGCAATAAACGAGGGACTACTGTAAACGTATATTCAAACTGAACACAGACTTCTACATGGAGCCGTTTGGTGTTTTTGATCAAATCTGATGTTTCAGACTGGCAGAAAAGGAACCAGTTACAGGAAGGAACCAGTTACAGGGAGAGGGAGCGTTGGAGCTTAAAATCAGTGAGGATAGTATGTATATCTGCCCAGGCTGAGATAATAAGACTACTTTTAGCTCATCAAAAAACACTTGCTTTAAGTGGATTAATCATAAGAGCAGACAAAAAAAAAAGCAAAGCAAACTGGAAGCACTTGGCTGTAAGTTGAGATTTCGTTACACAGATGTTAGTTAAACCCATTTAAAGCTCCACTCCCACACCGTCTCCTGTCCATACCTTTGATATAGTTTAAAGCTGCCTGTTTTAAACAGAGCAGAAGAACCGGTCAAAGTCAAGAATCAGTGCAAACATGAAACTCCAGGTACAGAGTCACTCATCGATCCCATCCTCCCTGAACTGAACAACAGATAAACCAGCGAGAGCACCTGAAGCACTCGGCAGCAGGGCATGTTTCATTTAGTCATCATGGGCATGAACGTTGCAGGGCTTTCACAATGTTAACAGCTTATTTCAAACATCCGTTGTCAAAACTATACATGCATCCTCAGCCTCTTGGCAATTTGCTACTTAACTATGAGCTTTTTGTGTCTATGAACAACCTTCTGGTTGACATATGGCTGATATTTGAGCACTGCTCTCAGCAGAGTTGGTAGAGTTCTTTGGTTTTCTGGCAGACTTTTAATCACTTGTGAAAGCTTATTAAGGAGCTTAATGTTATCTTGCTTGGTTCAATCAGAAAGCAGGAGTCAATGTGAGGCGTTCAAACCTTACAATGCTATTTTTTTGGGGGGGGCCAAGCACAGAAGTGGTAGCATCATGCTTTGTTTCTGGTGGATTGCACAAGTTAGACTGAATAATTAAGAAGGAGACAACAGACTGTTTAAACTGGACAATGATTCCAGTCATGCATCAGATCTTGGGTCTGACTGATTAAAGCAGGCTAGCATTGAGCTTCAGGGATAGCCTCCTCAAATCCTCAACCTCAGATCTTTTAATAATTTGTGGGCTGTACTTAAAAACCCAGTCAGGACCGATAAACTAACCAATTTAAATGAACTAAATCAATTCTGCCAAGAAGAATGGTCAAATAGACAGAATTACACCAAAAGCTTGTTAATGGATCCCATCAGCGCAGTCAAACTGCAACTTGTATTTTATAAAAGATTCTGTCTTTATGAAACAGATCAAAGCTTTATATTGAGGGACAAATGGTAGAAGAACTCGACTTTACCTATTTTTACTAAAAGTGTTATGGCTAAAACCAGAATATGAGCTCTGTATTTTTATTCTTTAATTTTAGTGGCAGGATTTTATTTATTTTTTCATTTGCATGTGGTGTTCCTGGGAATGACCGAAACCTTCTCTCCTCAAACTCCCACAAATTCCTGCAGTTAAAAGGATCCACAGATATTGTTGCAGCTTGCACACATAACTGAGTCTCTGGAGCTTTACTGAGGTCTCAGTTTGCACAGCAAACATTCACTGCTGAATGTGAAGGCAGCTCAAATACCATCCCTGCCATGATCAAGAGGCCAAACAGGGTAACCTTATAAGAAATGAGTAATTGATTAACCAGGTTGAAGTCAATCAATCGTCTAATCAAACAACAAAATTACTGCTGACATTGAAAAGTCTGCTCACAGACTTAATGACTTTTCTTTGCAGGTGTTAAAGCCAAGCTGGGACTCAGTATTTAGTGTCAAATGCATTCTTCAGGTCATAATCAGCTTTTCTCTTCTTCCAAACACGACAGGTCAGGTTTATGTCAGGGAGCTTTTTGAATTTTGGTCTCATTTGACCTTTTTCTAAACCATTTAGATCTTTTCTGACAAACAAGATGAGCCTTTACATGTAGTTTGTTGAGCAGGAGGACCTTACGGGCACAAAATTACAGTGTTGTATTTCCATTGGAAAACTCCTCCTTGAATTGTCACCTCATCATGGTGGAGGAGTTTGTGTGACTGAATGATCCTAGGACCTATGTTGTCTGGGGCAATTTTAATTGCCCCTTATAGGGTCTCCTAAGGCAGACTGGTTCTAGGTGACAGGCCAGATAAAGAGTGATTCAGAAGACTAGTATGGACAAAATAAAACAAGGAACTCCATGTCCCTTGCCCTGACGTGGGTTACCAAGGCCCCACCCTGAAGCCAGGCCTGGGGGAGGGGCTTGTCGGCGATTGCCTGGTGACCAGGTCTCTATCCATGGGGCCTGGTCGGGCTCAGCCCAAATGAGCAACATGGGTTTGCCTTCCTGTGGGCCCACCATCTTCAGGAGGGGTCATATGAGTCGGGTGCATGAATCCATGGGCAGCGGCTGAAGATGGGGACCTTGGCGCTCTGACTGTGGCTTACCAAAGCTGGCTCTTAGGAAATGGAAAGTGACTTCTTTGGTGGGGAAGGAGCCTGAGCTTGTGCGTGGGGTTGAGAGGTACCAACTAGATATAATTGGGCTCACCTCGATGCACAGCATGGGCTTTGGAACCGATCTCCTTGCAAGGGGCTGGACCTTATTCCACTTTGGAGTTGCAAACTCCCATAAACCCCCGAGGACCCTAGTGAGGGTAAAGAGCTGATCCAGTGTTCCATGGCCAGGACGGAACCCTTACTGTTTCTCCTGGATAAGAGGTTCTACAAATGATCGGATTTGCTTCTCCATTATGCCTGAATAGACTTTGCCAAGGAGGCTAAGGAGAGTGATACCCTTATAATTGGAGCGCACCCACCGGTCCCCCTTTTATGAAGAGGGGAACCACCACTCCAGTCTTCCAATCAGTGGCATGGCTCCTGATGTCCTTGCAATGTTGCAAAGGCATGTCAACCAATACAACCCCACAACATCCAAAGCCTTAAGAAAATCAGGGCAAATCTCATCCACCCCCACAGCCCTGCCGCCGTGGAGTTTTTTAAAACTACCTCCATGACCTCAGCCATAGTTATGGACAGACTAACCCCAAAGTCCCCTGACTCCGCTTCTTCCATGGAAGACGTGCCAGTGAGATTGAGAAGGTCCGAGAAGTATTCCTTCCACCTCCTGATGACATCACTGGTTGAGGTCAATAGCACTCCACTTTCACTGAACACAGTGTTAGTAAAGCGCTGCTTTCCCCTCCTCAGCCACCTGATGGTTTGCCAGAATCTCCTCGGAGCTGACTGAGTGTCTTTATCCAGGGTCTCAATGAGCTCCTCCCACATCCATG